AAGGCCTATCAAATCAGACAATTTAAGACTTTTTAAGGACCTGTTGACACCCTGTGCAATTGGAAAAAAAAGCCAAAAATGCATGAAATAAAACTCATTTGCTGAAAAGAGGCGGAGAAGAATTTAAAACTCATTTTTTAAACAATCATAAAAAAAATGTATTACCTTGACTATCATTCACTGTTGTTTGGATCAGTGTGTCTATTCTGTTTAGAACTGGCCGGACGACATGAACCTGCAGAGGAAAAAGAGACAAGCAAGCTGCATCTTGATGCTCAAACTGACAAAAAATCAACAGTCATGTGTTGGATTCTCTACCTGGTTTTCCTCCAGTGTCTCCATCACCAGTGCATAGTCCTCCCAAAACTCTCTGAGCAACTTGCTCCTGTTAGGAGCCCATTTGAATAAGATCTCATCTGCAACAGTTTCAAGAACAGCATGTAAACAAACCAAACAACACCAGTGAAATTAGAGTTGGTACAGTGTCAGCATATCTGAGCATCTCACCTTCCTCTGATGGAGAGACAGGACAGTCCACCCCCTCCTCCTCTGACAGGGCCACGCACATTTTCAGCAGGTACAACGCCCTCTTACGTGACAGGCTGTCTCTGTGCGTCAGTCCATCCTGAACCATCCTCCAGAATTGGAGGGACAGACGAGGGTCGGGCTCACATGAGGAGGAGGAAGATGAAGAGGAAGGAAGGTAGTGAGGTTTCAGCAGGTGGTCTGACAGGGCGGTCAGACACAGCAGTGCCCGCTCTGTGACCACAGGTGTGCTGTCAGTGGAGTGCCAGCTGCACAGGTCATCCAGGATCAACTTGAGGATGCTTGTTAACCTCGCACCGCTGCAGCAGTTCAGGACAGTTAGGAGAAGCCTGACTGTGATTTTAGACACCAATGCATCAGGGAGTGTTTTGATGCATGACAAGGCAGATGACACTGTGGTGAGTGTGAGCTGTTCATCAGCTGACAGAGAAGGCACAAGAGCAGCCATGACTTCAATGGCAACCTCCACGCTGAGTCGTCCCGGAGCGGGCACCTCCTCTTCTGACAGCTGGAGCGACGGCAGGACAAACAGAGCCATTCTCCCCGGGACAGTCTCATCACACAGCGGGACACAGATGTTCAAGAGTCGGCATGCAGCAGCAGTGCTCTCCCTGCACCGCATGTCCTCACCGGCTTCTGCTGATATCCTGGAGAGCAGAGGCAGACACTGTGTCCAAATCATCGAGTCGATTTTACTTTTAATAGATCCTCTTTTCGCAGCTGAAAACGTAGTCGTGTCCGAGTCGGCCAAGAGGGGTCCGAGTCCTTCAATGAAAGCTGTCAGCGCTTCCACTCGCTCCGTCCCCGGCCATGAGTCACGCGGCCAGGTTAGAGACTCAAACAAAATATCGTAGTCAGGAGAGCTGGACAATAACGCGTTAATTAAAACAGAATACATTGTAGAGAGACGCTACACTGCCAACAACAAGCAAGCTAAAGATACCCTGCTACCTGCTCTTCTCACCGCGTCCATGAGCTACACGTTTTTACAGTCGGAATGTAAACTTCCGCATACGTAACCTCAAAGTCTCGCGAGAGCTGGGAGTTACGAGTGACAGAACAGCACTCATTCAATTATACCCTTTTAAATCAATCAAATTTAAACATTAAATTATCATAGTGGTGTTTAGAAGTATAGTATATAAAAAAGTGAAAACATCCGGTTTCATTTAGTGGCATAAAGATTTTATTTTTACTATTATATAAAAAAAAAAACATTGCTTTAGGTAAAAATGAATTGTTCAGTATTGTGAATTAACACTGTCAGCTCATACATTATTAGCGTTGAAAACGTTTTTACAATAGTACAAAGTACAATCTTTCCAAGTGAGTTCATATTGGCTAATCACGTCAGTTCTTTTGCATCCAAACTGTCATTTACACAACAGTAAAAACAACATTTGAGAAAAAAAAACAACAGAAAGGCTCTTTGTTTGGAGGTTATATAATACAAAAATACTGCAGATTCATTATACACTGGTTACAGAAATAGTGCTTTACAAAGAATACTTAATTAAGACAGCGGGGAGGGAGTATAGAACAAGGAGGCTTTGGATGAATGCATTACCAGCTGTAAAGAGGTTCAATTTTCCACATCGGCAACTACATTGCTGTGGCAGACTAATAGGAAAAGCATGACAGAGCACACTATACAAAAATAGAGTATATTATAAAATATGATTCTTAAAAAAAACATGATAAAGGAATGCAGGAGCACAATCATTAGCACCGTGGCTTCTGGAGTTTCTCCTGAATAAAACAAGGACATTTCAGTGTTTACATTAGCAGACAGGATAATGGCAAGGGAAGCTTAAATCCCATCTAATGAATGTCAAAATATCTCTTACTGTCAAACTGACACTTCAGAAATATTTTTACAAGGTGAACTTTATAAAAGACAATAAAATTGATTAGAAATATTTTGTTCATATGTAATAAAATAGTGCAAGTAGTATGTACATAATATACAACAAAAATAAATATGCTCTGTCTACTGACTGAAATGTTGCTGAATCAGATCTCTGATCTCTATTCCACAGTTTCCTAAGAGGAATGATGGGTCCCGTCATTTTTCATAATGCGTCTCTGCACTTTGAAACACACACATCCCACGATGTCATCATCATACAGTAGAAAACATTGAGACATTCATGTGTTGGCAACTTACAAGTTAAGCTGCACTGTAAATGAAGGAGGAAAATGGGCCTATTTGTAGACATCAACACTTGATGTATTCAAAGAATGAATTCCAGGAACTGTTCATCACCTAACATGTCCAAGGAGAGGCAGTTAGTGGACCTGCGGCCATAGAAGGAAGGTTTGGCTTGGCAGTGCAAAAGCGGGTAATAACTGTCATCAACAGGGGTCTTTGTGTTTGTTGAGGCATCTGGGAGACCAAAGGTATAGCTGTGGGAGGAATCAGGTGGCAGTGTCGTCCCCAGGGGTGCCGGAGGTGGGAACAGACGGACATCATCTAGACTGTGGCTGTGCCGATCCACGCTGACTTGTGTCTTAGATTTCTGCATCGAGAATAAAGACAGGAGGTAAAGATAAAGACTAATATAATGTAGTAATCCAAAGGAAGCAAAGAAGAAGGCAGGGGAAAGAAGGCGACCAACCTGTTGTAACGTATCTTTGTTACGTAACTTCCCATGGTCTTCATCACTGTCTGGGGGACATGCTGTGTTTTCTGTAGAGACCAAATAATTAGAGTTTTTAAGAATACAAACAATTTTGTTTTCATTAACAGGATGAGAAAAAATAAAATACCATTCAAATAATATCCTGTATGTCACAATCAAATTATTCATACCTGGTGAAGGAGTCTCTGAAGCGAGTTCTGAACAATCCACTGACACTCCTTCAAGAAGATCTGCCAACTGGAACATCTCATAAGGATCATCCACAAGAACCTCCTTTGGACTTCCAACACACGTCTTGATCTCTGAAAGAAAAAAAAAAGTTTTAGAAATCGGATAAAATCTAACGGATTTCATTTCATTGTGATTCAAGAGACTCGTTCAAGATGAACTGCGCTTTGCCTAAAAAGTGGCCAAGATAAGGCAGCTGCAGCAGGAGGCGGTGACAGAAAGCCACGGTCAAGTCTGACAGTTTCTCAACAGTGTCCAGCAGCCTTCGGTCTGTACAGGAAGTCACTGAAACACTCACATCCTGTTAGATCTGAGGTTGATTTATTAAAAATGCTATCAGACCCATGTATCAGTTTGTTCTCAGTCTCCAATTTGTTTCAATCATGACAGAGTGACCTATTTAAATGCTTTACAGGCAATCTGCAATTTCTGTTCATGGTTCAACCTCCATTTTTCATTTAAAACATCAGCTTAACAGTCAAACACAGAGGAAAGAAATACAACACAACAGCTTTTATTAAAGATCAGTCAGATATAGTCAGGGTTTCACATCTGTACAGATCCTCACATCCCACTGACCACAGGTGTTGCTAAATACTTCAATAACTAAACAGTCAAATGTTGATATATCACAGACTATATATGGTTTATGATGAATGTATTTAGTCTCTGACGACTAAGCTTCACCATCAGTCACACAACATGTATTCTTTAAACAGAATAAACTTTCACATCATACAAATAACATCCAAATCTCTGAAATTAAACAAAAATGAAAAGTTTATCTAAAACATCTTGTTGAGTCAACATCTAAACCAATCAGCTATTAGATCAGATAAGAGTCTGGTATTTCCCATCATGCCTTGGATCCTCTAATTGGTAGAGAGCAACTGTGCCACCTTGATTCTTGTGAGATTATCGTTGTCCACTTTTGTATGACGTCAGAGAAAGATGAGATGAAGTTGGACACAAATCTAACTATCGTCGGCGATCAAATCGGTGCATGCGAGGCTCATCTTGAACAAGCCCAAGATCGTAATGAAACAAAAATGAAACTAACTTTAAACACAGCATGTACTATAACAATAACATCATTAATCTCTCATATTCTCAACTATTACAAGTTACTATATCAGCACGGCACACAGCTGCTTTCCCGTCTACCAACTATTTCATTCAACAAGTAGCATCAGTTTACTCCCAAAAACCATATATATGGAGAGATGGATAAAATGTCCTGTACAAATGCGTCAGTATAAAAACCTCTCACCTTCCTCTTGCCACCCTTCATCTTCTATCCGTGCCTTGCTGCCTGCGTCAAACCCAGAAGTAAAGGAGCTGCCGCAGCTGGCTCCTGAACTGAAACACTTCTCTGCTTGCCGGTGACCTTCGTCCTCCATGGAGGCCACCTCTGTGGAGATGCTGTGTTGACGAGCGTCAGCTTCAATTCCAGAGCTGCTGGTGGAGTGTCGAGAGAGACCGGGGCTGCTCTCGCTGCCTGGGGGGTCCAAGTCCAGGTCATCACTGATGTATGACTCTCTGTAACACTTTTTATCTAAAAAAGAAGAAAATATTTTTTTTTAAAAATTAGAACATAAACCATCAAAAGAACGTGAGGTTAGCTGTTTGTTAAGAAGTTGTCAAAAAGTACTGAAGATATACCGACGGCACTAGCTCTATTCAGTAACTGTAAAGTACCAGAAGCTGCTTAAAATGCTGGAAATAATATTGGTAATACTTTAAGGTTCACTGATCAATGAAAAACTTTGATGAATTGATTCTCTGAGTGTATTCTTTTAGACTTTAGACTCCTATATTTAGACCTTTAACACACGCACACTGAAATATTTATTTCCAATAAAAGAGCATCTTGTATCATTTGAATAAATATAAATTTGAACAGCGCTGGGGCTACAAATGTGATTAATGAACAGGAACTCTTAATTTCTCTGTGTGGGGAAAAAAGTGACTTTTCTTAAGTTTTCATTTAACTTTTTGTCTACAGAAGAATTCTGCTGACTACAAGTGGCCCCGAGCCAAACTGTAATTATCGCTGATACTAATCCTGCCCTTGTATTCTCCTTCCTGTACCTTCGCTCTCCTCCAGCTGGCGTAGATGTTTGAGGGCAGGCTGGAGGCTGAGGTAGAGGCGATGGCTGCTGCTCAGGTGCAGCAGGAGGTGGCGAGAGCGGAACGATGACCCTGTGTAGTAAACCAGCTTCCTGGCTGACGGCAGGCCATCTGGCTGGATCTCGAATTTCTTACCCTGAATGGGAGAACATATTATACATAGTGTACATAGCTAATGTCCATTAAATAATTAGAATGATTCCACCTAAGATTACCAGAGAATGGAAATGAGCTGCATGCTGACCAGGAAGGTGAGACGTCCCACGTTTGACCAGGGGAAGTCGTACAGCAGCTGTCGAATGTTGTTCACCTCCTATAAATATAAACCACAAGCACGCACACACAAATAAGAGCTCAATAGTGTGTGAGCAACAGAACATTTCTGGATGTGTAATCTACTGGGGTATATTTTTTAAATTAGAGATCAATAATCAATTGTCTTTTTGTTCACAGAAGCCATCTGGACTTGGCGAAGAGGCCAAGGGCTTCTCGAGGTATCTCACGGTCTGTTGGCTCTTTAATCAGCCAGGCCTGGAGCCCTAATCCCCCCAGATGGCCCCTGATGGACAGATCAAACAACTGACTGGCATTTGCAGACGGCTCCTATCTCCTCCTGCACTGCTGTTGGTGGCAATCCCACACATTCTTCACACGTCTAGTCAGAGGTTTTACAGGGCTACACATACAAAGACTGAATCTTTGAGCCAATGCAGATTCACTTTTATGCACGCATGTGTTGACGCATATACCACGCATCAACAACACACTCACACATGCACGTACCTGATAAACCTGCATTCCTCGCAGGGTCAGACCGAGCAATGCTGTTCCTCTCTCTGCCTTTTTGTCCTGGACAAATGAATGATGAGATGTCAGAGAGGCATCTGAGCAGTTCAGATAAGATAGCTGCTCCACAGTTAAGCCCCTTTCCTACCTCACTGGGAAACACTGGGGCCGCTGCTAACAACAAATTAAAAGTGATAGCACATTACGCAATGCATGGGCCAGCATTCAAACCATCACTCAGGAGATGAGTGATCTTGGAATGGGGAGGACAATAAACTGGATTAGATGTAAGGTTACATAACTGCTCCATAGTCATTTGTCCAGCACAGCTCAAATGAAGCCAAACTAACTGCATTTGTGTTGGAAAAGACTGTATCAGACGGAAGGAAGGAATAGGTCTGGAATGGTCCATCAGATAAAAATGTGCTGAGAACAAATTCCACTATCCAACAGCATAAATAACATCATCAACAGCATCAGCATTTCTTATTCTAATGGTAAAAATCAATCATGCAAAAAAAATCATCCTGCAAAAACTCAATTCAAAGTGTTTATGATACTGAAAAACTAAAGTGACTTATGACCTTTTGCAGTTTGTAAAACGTGACGGGCACATCCTCCAGTCGACATGACTCCCTGATGAAAAGCAGCATGGCATCACGAGTAGACATGCCCCACAGCTCCTGATGCACCTTGGGCCCATGGCAGAGCAGATAGTTTACTCCCCGCTTAGCTACAATCTATAGAAAGAAGGAGGGACGGACACTGATTAGGGCAGAAAGCGCAACATAACCCCAAAATATAAAATATTAAAACCTATGAAGCACAATTTTAAACTTAATGTCGAGTTTGTTTCAAAGTGTTTTAAATGCTGCTGCCACATTTTAATACCTACCCATGGTGGAAAGTATTCCTTGGGTTCAAAGTAAGGCGTGACCTCCATATCCTCCCTGGGTAGCGTGTGGTCACCGAGGTCAGCTTGCAAGGCGTAACCTGCCAGCTGGAAGTACACCTCCTCCTGCTGACGACATTCAGAGCGAAGCACCCGTTCCCGCAAGTCAGAGTAGTATAGATGCCGTGCCTTACGTTCACTGGTACCACACACCAAAAGGAAAAACAAATGTTATAAGGGAGGACAACAATGGATGGAAAAAGAGCAAGCTTGTCCAGTAGTGAAGAGGATGCATACAGAACATATGTAGGACATACCAAATGAGTCGGCCGTTCTCTATGTAGTACTGCACTTTGAGGCAGAGGAATAGAGGCAAAGGTCTCTTCTGTAGCCCCTGTGTGCAGAAAGAGACATGTTAGAGAAGGCCAGTGTGCATCTTTTTGTCATGCTAAATGAAATGTTGTGGCATGTAGGCCACTGAACTGTGCCTCCCAATTAACTGACATGCACAACAGTTTGGAGAGTGGGTCACAGCAAAAATGTTAATAATTTAAACAAACTGTTCCACCCTATGCAACAGGCTGCCTTACCTTTCCCGAATCTTGCTTCCACTCCTTTGGAAAGTACTTTGTCAGTTTCTCCTCCATGTCTAAAAATATGTGTTCATTGTCTGGGATGGAGAAAGACAATCAGTAAACAAGCAGACAGTTAGCACGCAAACAAAACAATAATGTAACCAAGTGGAAAATTTGACCAACAATGGGATTAATTAGGGTGAAAGAAAAAAAGCCCCAGTTCTTTCTTTTGTGAATAAGGGTACGAGGAAGCTAATGACAACAATGTTAATGTTAATGTTTTCATATTCTAATTGTAGTGGTAGTATAGCAGCACAACACAAACGTTAATGTTGTTTTATCGAAAACAAATTTGGATTCTATTTCTGTAGAAGGGCCAAAGAGCTGTTTGCAACCTGTGCTGGGAATGAGGATGTTGTATCACTCTCAGGCTGGTCCTATGAGTCATGACATAGGCATTTTTTATTTGAACCACCTTATCTCTTTTGTTCAACTTTGTGTAGTCAAATCAACGAGCTGTTTCACAACGTGCTCCTTTAACCATCCATCTCTCCTTTCAGCCTGTTCCCGCTCTGACTCACTCCAACTCCTTCACCTCTCATCCTTCATTGAAGTCTTTGAGCAAGAGTTGAGTAAGGCGGCCTGTGTCATGACGAGTCCCCCTACCTCTCTACCCCCTAAACTCCCACCCTCCTCTTCCCATCATCAATCCGTACCCTCCCCTCAGTGAAGAGGAGGAATGCAAGGGTGCATTCCAGGCTTAATGAAGTTAATATTGCAGGAATCCAGGCCTAAGTGATCGCTGAACCAACACCACAAAAACAAAAGGCCGCTTGTTCAAGTGGTGAGCCACACAAGATTACCAAGGCATTTCAACGTATTTGTACGGAGACAGAGCACAGAAACACAAGGAAACACAGAGTTCAGAACTTTGCTCAGTGGCTAAAGTGGATTGCACCATTCAATTATGCAGACTGGGCGGGCACAATGAAATGTTTTGGCTTTAGTGAAATAGCCTTTTGGCAGAAAGAAGTTTCCACAATATTACGTAAACAAGTGCCACTAAAAGGGTGGCACTGCAAGGCCCTGCAGTAAATAGTCATAATCCAAACATGGTGATTCTGTTTACAGTCTAACTTATTGACAGCTGAAATGAGGTGGAGGTACTACAGTGCACGAACTGTTCAACCACACTTCAGTCCACTGACAGTGCAGGTGTGTACTCTAGTGTGAACAGTGCTTTCAGGTTCAGAGACTGAGGGTCCAGTGAGGATGGAGCTTACCTTTCACCACTGTGAGGCCAAAGAAATGCAGCTCTTTGATTCCAAGAAGCTCTGACACTCGATTAAAAACATCCTGCCCTGTGGATTTCAGCTGGAGGTGAAAAGACAAAGAAGTCTGTCTTCAATATATATTCACAAACTATGTGGTGCAGCCAAAACATAATGATACAAACAGAAATCTGACCATCTGCTAAGACCTCTTGGTGATAATTAAGAGGACAACTAAAGACATATTAAAAACACCCACCCCGACAGTGATGTCCAGCTGCTCTTTGTTCGGGAGGAGAACACAAATAGTTCTCTCCTGCCTTATCGAGGTGGACATGATGTCTTGTGTAAGTTGATGATAAGCGCTTTCTCTGTGTTAAACTGCCTCAGTCTTCTCTTGCTTTCCCGATCCTTCACCTCTTATCTGTTCCACGTCAGATCATCCATATTGTGTCTAAAAAGATAGATGACATCAGAATGAGATAAGCAAAGAAATTAAAAAACATGATCCAACAACAGTTCAACGTGAATGATGAAGACAGCAGAAAGGAATTTAAAACAGATGTCAGTTCTGGTGTGTAACTCCCTGGACTGATATTGCATTAGCAATACTTCAGTCAAAGCATAAACAATTCCATACTCAGACATAAGGACATGGATGTCTCCCGTTATCCCACAACCAAGATTAACTCTACATGGCCTGTCCATTCTGAAGGGTTAGAGGCCAAACATTTTACCATCACAATTATCTTTCAGAGGGATCATCAAAAAAGCAAAATACATGACTCAAATATATGACATGGGTTGGTTTGACCCAAATTATGGTGTATAATTGAAAAACAGGAATAAAGAATAGGACACGCACATCCTCGAAGCCCACTGGGTTGGGTGCTGGATCACAAAGTATCAAAAGCATGAAAAAAGAAAAGAAAAAAGCGATCCGCACACCAAAAGAGCTCCCGTATGCGATTTTTTATTTTGCGTGACATTTTGAGCGTGATGCTCTTCCGTATACTTGAAAACAGGGACATAATTGGGCAAATTCAATGAGTAATACTGTAATCCTAATAATAGTCATCAACTGGGAGCAATTAATCAGATAATGCTTTTGCTTTTCTATTCCAACAGTAGCTACAGCAACACAAAACTACAAAAACTAAATGTATTAATTCAGATTCTGCTTATAAACAAATGGCCATGATTGATGAGGACAGTCTACTTGCAGCCAAGGCTCATCTGAAGTTTACCCCACAAGGCTGACCCCAAGCCCCTACTGGTACGAGGCTCATCTGATTAACGTCTCAAAATCAATTAATCAGGTTAATTACTGCCGCGCGCCGACTCTGATCCCCTTAAATCCCATTCTTGACGACAAGCAGTTAAAAGAAGAAAAAAAACAAGGGACGAAAACAAATGATCCGTGACGAAGCAGCCTGCTCTTGAGCCAGTCTCCTCCAAGTAAAATGTAGGAAATGACCAGCATGGTAGGAATTTCTTGAAAATTCTTTGAGTTATACTTGTCTCTTTTTACACCTCTCTCTTCAGCAGTTTGGCATTCACATACAGAAAAAAGATGTTTACATAAGTTAAAAATACTAACAATAGGCCTCACTGTTAAAAAAAATCATAAGAAAATAAAACATCATAAAGATGTTGCCGGTGTGCAAAACAGGTTGTGGAAACTACAAAAGTATATGTTCTTGGCTCAGAGAGCAAAACATTTGTCGTACTGAATATGATTTATGGACATGTTGAAACACAGCCTCACTCACATCTGTGTGTCAGTGCAACAAACCTGAAATTCCAGTAGCCTGAACATCTGACTTGCTCATGAGTCAAACTAGGCTATATTGTACATTTACACAGACGCCATGGCAAGTGTTACGAGAACTCAATAGACCCAAGTGTAGTCTCACACTGACAATGTATAAATAATGCTCACATTTTACTTTTTGAGTGTTAGAGTGTCTCTTCAATATAATCTATGCCCATTATGAGAGTGCTGTGCCTCAATATCACAATACTGCTGCATTTATATAAGTCTTTTACACAACACTCATAAATTTACACACTGAGGCAATATAACTGATTTTGTTATGACAGCCACATACACTACATTTGATTATTTTGTTATTGCTGAGATACTGGAAGAGGTTGCAGACATATGTGAGCAATTTATGAGCAATTCATTTGCAAGCAAGTACATGAGAGCAATGAGACTGAAAAATAGAGACAGATTTCTAAAGAGGGGGAAAATGCTGTTTAGGAATCTGGATGGGCTTGTGGGTGTCTCTGCTTGTTTATGCATCTGCGTGTTTATACTGTGCATTTCAATAACTAAAATACTTTTGTGTGAGTAGTATGGGCCTGGTTAGACATCTTAACTATTTTTGTTACGTAATGTTTGGCCCTTTAGCGTTTGGTTTGTTTATGCTGATAACTTTTTCCACACTTTACCTAAATGCAGTTTACATTTACTTGAGCGCTCAGTTGGAAAAATAAACATTAGACAACATGTACAATAAAGTTTGAATGCATCCTGATAGTCAACCAAAAACTGCTATTTATTGATAACAAATATCCTGCTATCAATAACAGAGCAATCATAAGTTAACTTAAAAGAATCAATGTTGTCATATTACATCAAAATATATCTCAAATATTTACTAGCTTGTGTAAAGCATTAAAAGTACTGAATAACTAATGACATAGGTGAAGGTATACCAACTTTATTTAGCCTTAAATCCAAAGTACAATCAGGCATATAAACTACACTAGTCACCACTGCATCCTTCCTCCAAAACAGGTTTACTATCAGCTCAAACACTGCTGGCTGACGTCTCCAGACATCCCCCTAGTTGCTGACCAGGGTGAAACCTGGCATCACATGAGAGCAGCCATCTGCATGCCTTAATTCCCCTCCAAGACTGTCATAATCCCTACTTCTGAGCACACTGCTGGCTGTTGGAAAAAACATCCCCTCTGCACTGTGCAGGCTCTGGAGTGTCAGGCATCCTCACAGCCCACTAAAACTGCAAAGGAATAAGATAATAGGGGGGTATCTGAATAAACAGGGGAAGGCCATTTATACCCACACAAGCTGAAAACAATAGGGTGAGCCAGCTTTTCAGTTTTGGGGGAGCAGTGCATTTACTAGGGGTGACTCAGAGCCCTGAGAGGCAAATGTATATTAGGGTCCAATGATTCATCTATCAGAGAACAAAACCTTTCAAAGACTTCTCACAAACTTGGGACTGGGTTACACCCTGTTAGAGTTAACCCAGGTGCATTTAAAACCTCCATGTTTTGACTGTTCCCATAGTCTCCATCACACCACTTATTTACATATCAGGCGATAAGGTTATAACGTCCCGGGCTAGTAGCCGGTAGTTCTGTTAAAGTTTACGTTTAGTTATTTACACATATTTACTGTTTGGATGAGCTACATAAATTCAGAAAGAAAGAGAAGCTGTAGGCTGTAAAAAATAGTTTCTACAATGCAACATTTTCCTAAATTAAAGTACTATATTTGGTTGGTAACGTTTAACATTACAACCTAACGCAAAGTGCATCACTAACGTTCATTAAACTAGCCATGAAGCAACAGGTTACTCACCATCACATTATACGAGGCGAAAGAGTTCAAAATCAGTCGCAGGTCTTCTCAAAGCTTGTTCAGAAACAAAATCTTATTTTATATCTGAATAAAAACATGACAGAAGTATAGTGAACACCAGTTTAGTATGGTCCCCCCCTCTCAGTGCGTGTTGTAACTTCTTCAACCACGGTGAATCCCCAACGATTGGGGCGTACCATTTTGAATCCTTGTGGGGGTGGACTGTTGTAATTGAACCCCAGATGGGAATGTTCGTACTATTTCAACGTTAGATTCACTTACCATTTTAGATTTATTGAGTGAATATTAACTAAACGTAAATATTTTTCTCCATCTATGTGCGAATATAAACACTATAATATTACAATACAGTACCGGACAGACGCATCCCCCTATTTTTCGCGGTGGTGGAGCAGTCTCGTGCTAATTAGAGGCCCAAACACAAAGTGCTGGGACTGGTTGGGACCCTTGTTGTTAGTGATCAATACAAACAGGTTTGGTGATTAATTAGAGCATCCTGAACTGTTCTTTAGTTTGACCAATATGTCGGCCCTGAATCTTGAAAACCTGGTGGAAATAAATCATCAGTCATGTGTTCCTTATAGTCTCCATCTACCTTTCAGTCAGTCAGTTAATGATCCCCTTTCCTAAATATAACTGTATTAGTGGATTACAATAGTCTCCAATCAGCAGGTTGCAGAAGGGCTTTCAAACTCCCTTTATGTGAGAGTGGTAGATTTACAGTACCTCAGGGGGAATGACAAGTTAAAACTTATATTAAACATTCCTGAGATCATGCACAGGCCTACATTATGTGTAATAATACGTGGTATTCTAATACTTTGACTATTGGAAACATCACTGATAAATAAGACAATTCAAGTTGAACTAGCATGACATTAATATTTATACACAAACTGCATAGAAAGTCCCATATGTATTGTAGGTCTAAAACACCTGAATGTGACGGCACTGCCCCCTGCAGGGCTGATTGAGCAACTGCAATAGAAAAATGTAGACAAAAATTTATGAATAATCATTGAAAAAAAAGGCACCAAAATAACACAAACGTTAAAAAAAATTGAAGACACTATAGGATTGCGATTACTGCTACATGTGCTCAATCATAATGAACTCAACCTGAGAGCTGTACAGCAATGTACATCAAAACTTGACTTATGTAATTGTGAAATTCATTGCAACAACAGTGGCTCACATTACTTGACTCATTAAAATGATAGCTTTTTTTCTATATAAAGTGCAGGAACAGTTTCAATCATACATCAGCTCAGACTGTATTAGTAGGCCAAACTAAATCAGCTCACAACTGTTTCCCTGCCAAGTGAACCAAACCCTGAGAATAGAAGTGACAGATGACAAGAACGAAAGAAAAGTCATATAACCCATTTTCATTATATGCATATTTAATGGTAGAGTATGATGATATATAAACAATTTTCCAAGAAACAATTTTTTTCATTCCAAGCAATACTTTCCAGTTCAAACACATAATCACCACATGATACCCACCAAATACTTTCGATAAAACGAGTTCATATTAGCAACATGTGCTTTTGCTGAATAATGATCATTGCTTAAAACCCCTGTAATAAAATGTTGCTATGTTGTAGGCAAAGCTTTATTCTCCCAACACCAGTTTGGGTTAATGTTGTGCAGAATGCTGCAATGGCAAGGAACAGCATAAAGTATTAAGACCAAAGCCAAGGCTGCGAAGTCTGAGCAACAATCCTGTTTCAAATGCGATCTTTGCCATTAAAAATGGAAAATTGTTGATAAAAAAGTAACTTGTACAAATGACCATTTTCAGTACAAAACTTGTAAAATGTAGTTGTGGTGCAAATCAATGCAGTGTCTCTTAAAATTGGTGGAAAACATTTGCAATGGTGAGGACAGTTATGTGCAGACGTGACTTGGGCCAGCTCACCAAAACAGCCATTTCATTTTTGTAGCAGCTACATTTCCAGTTCAGCATCTAATATTAATTGAATAACTTGGAGAAATTAAACGTTAAAAACATAACACTTAAATAACACTGAAAATATAGCATATGATGGGGGAAATCATTTCCCAAACACAAAAAAAAAACCCACAAAAAGTTTAAAACATGGCAGTAGAAAAATAAAAATGTCGATATCCACCGTGATTCCAATATAAACAACATGAAATGAAAGAAATTGTGATTCTGCTCATAAGTCCTTGAAAAGTGATTATATTTATTTAAAAACCAAGAGATAATCCAGATACCATAATCAGAGTAAGGTTTCGATGCAGTGAGGTATTAGCTCCACATTCCTCTCGTCCACCAACGTGTTTGATTCTGCCGCATTTCTACTGAAAGAACTTGAGGCCTGCGACAAGGAAGAACTTCTCCAGGAAGATCTCAGAATCAAGGACGGCAATGTGGGCAGCCCGGCCAATAAGGGAGTTGGCTGTGTTGGGCAGGGCATGAATGACATCGTAACGCACTAGATTACAGTCTTTGTTCTGAAGTACTGGCAGCAGCAAGTTCTCAATCATCTCAGCATACACAGGACCTGGTATGGATGACAGTGGAACAGGCTGAACAGGCGAGGTTTGGTCCATTTGATGTTCTTTAGTCAATTTAACATGTAGAATTATGTGATGGCATATGATTAAGTGTCTAGACAAAATTAGTCAAACACAACTCACCTGTTTGTTTGTCCTTTAATGCAGTTTTGCACATTTCTATCCGAGCAGAGTGATAGGGGACGTAGCGATCCTGCAGTGACCCCACCAGCACCACATTCTTGAAAAACTGCAGACCTTCAAAATCAGATTGATACAAAAGTTATCTCTACAATCTCATATTCCACATATACAGCCCAAAATGTATTTGATGAGAAAAAAGCAAGGCTAACCAGATTTCTTGCTGAGCTTGTAGAGGAAAGTTTGGCGAGGGTCAGAGTTGTCGCGGCACGTCAGCTGCAGGAGTGACCCGGACTTTTTCCACTTCTGCATGAACCAAAGGCCTAAGAACAAACAGTTAGCAGTTATTCAACACCACAATGACACAAGAGGAAGTAGTAGTAGAAGAAGAATTACTTTATTAATCCTCAGGGGGAAATTCAGTTTTTTTACTCTTTGTTATTTTACACACACCACGCGCTCAAAATACACATATGCACACAGGACCCACAGACATGCAGTTGGATAGACGTTAGAGTGACAGAGCAAGAACTAGCATTACCTAGACTGAAGGTAGTATTAGTGAAATACCTGAAAATGGCATACAAGCCGTTTTCTGCCATCAGCTAAATGTTTTGAAACTTGCCTGTGTTGACCAGAGCAGAGCTGTTGTACAATGTACCCAGGTGAGGTCCAGAGAGGGAGAGGAAGGTGTGTAGCCTGCTCAGGTAGCACTTAAACCTCGGCCTGGTTAGAACTGAGCGAACGATGAGATTCCCCAAGGAATGACCCACAAAGCTGCAAATGAAGAATATGAATACACACTGTTAGTGTGTGACCTAAAAGTTAAATAATATGATTTGTCACCTGAGAGGTCTGAGTGAGTAAGTTGGCTTTAAAAGGGACAGTTCACCCCCAAATAAGACAAATATATACACATTTTTCCTCTTACCTGTAGTGCTATTTATCAATCTTGACTGTTTTGGTGTTAGAGATATCGGATATAGAGATGTCTGCCTTCTCTTGTATATAATGGAACTAGATGGCACTCAGCTTGTGGTGCTCTAATCACCAAAAACTACACCTGAAAAACTCAACAGCAATGTATCTTTCTATCATGACTTGGTTAGTATAAAGAATCCACAGACCTTGTTGTGAGCAGTTTCACATATACCCATCAAATGTATCTCTGTACAGAGGGATGCATCTATCTACTCATGGACAAGGGGCTCGTGCTCGTGACAGCGCAAGTTGTAAACGTTAATGGCGTCCTCCTGAGTTGAGCTGTAACATAAGCTGGGTGATCTTGCAGTAGATGCACGCTTCCTTCTGTGTGGCGATGCGGTTGGAGGATGTAGTTCAGTAGAAAGAAAACAGTTCCTACATGAAACTGCTCACAACAATGTCTGGGGCTTATCGTGGGTAACCAGGTCATGATTTCTGAGAAGAAACACTGCTGTTGAGTTTTTCAGATGTATTTTTTGGTGCACCACAAGCTAAATGCCATCTAGTTCCACTATACTCAAGAGAAGGCAGACATCTCCAGAACTCTGCATCCCACACCAAAAAAATCTAGACTGATAAATAGCACAACATGTAAAATGACATATACAGTAAGTGTAAGTGTAGATTGGGGTAAAATAAAACATCTTACCTTATCTTTGACACTGTAAGGTTGTATATCTGAATATACTGGACTATTTCATCCAGCAATCGGTCTGTCATTGACTCAAAGTCAGCAAAAGTGTCATTCTGTGGATGAGGAGAGCAGCAAATTAAAAGAAAAGACAATGTTTTGGGAGTGTGTTTCATTCAGTAACACTCACAGCTCATTAACGCTGATAGCAGATGACAGAAGAGTCTGTGCTTATCCACTCACCTGGTTCCTCTCAGACATTAGGAAGTCTATACGAGCACCAGGCAGTCCAAGCTCCAGGTAAGTCTTCACCAGTCTCAGGTCTGCACTGTTACCTGCAGCATTGAAAATATGTGTATTTTGAATATGAAAAAAACAAAACACAGCTTTTAAAAGAACTCATTTACTCTTAAAAGATGAGGTTTCTTACCGTCCAGGCCATGGACACAGACTATGAGATGAATGCCTTCTTCACAGTTTTCATCTTCCTCCAAGCTGAAGTAGGGCACAGTGGATGCCAGCTCAGGTACTTCACTATACAAGAATCCAGGCAGCCTGAGCTGTTTCATTTCTTCTTTGGCCTTAATGAACCTGCATAAGTATGATTAAACTATTGAATATTAATTTATAATGTGGGAGACAGGACAAATATCTGCATAAAGTGTAACATTAAGTGAGATATGAAGAAAATTGTGCAGGATGACTCACGCTTTCATCTGTGGTGTGGGTGCACATTCATACCACCGCAGGCTAGAGGAAAAGGAGGTGGAGGGACAGGGAGGTCTTCCCAAGCTGTACCCAACACTGCCAGAGGCTAGGTTGGAGCAGATGGGAGC